ATACGTATGATGCACGATCCTCGCAGTAGATAGCGCTATTTAAGCAATAGCGAAAATCAGACCTGAAAAAAATCAGGCCCGTACGGGACTCGAACCACTGACCTGTGCGATACTAGTGCAGCGCTCTTACCAATTGAGCTAACAAGCCAACTGAGAGCAGGCCGTTAAGTTGATTCGTAATGAACCCGTGAAAGTGTTAGCTCAATTGGTAAGAGCGCTGCACTAGTATCGCACAGGTCAGTGGTTCGAGTCCCGTACGGGCCTGATTTTTTTCAGGTCTGATTTTCGCTATTGCTTAAATAGCGCTATCTACTACGAGGATCGTGCATCATACGTATCAAATACCGCAGTTCAAAATATATGATTTTCCTATATTTATTCTATCTAGAATGACGTTCAGTTGGTACTAATTGCATTGTGATGTTCATTTTGATAAAACAGGTGTTTGGAGAATTGACTTTTTTCCTTAACTTCTTCTGACGGAGTGTTGAGTTTCGCGTCACCGTCTTTTATATCTGTTTATTTAGCTATTTATTTTCTTTGAGACTATTTTTTCGCGATCCTGCTCTTGATGGATAAAGCTCCTGCGAAAATAAGCATCAATGAACTACATGTAGCATCTGTAATCGGTTCAAACTGTATTTTTACACGAAAAGGTTTTTTTATGTTCTGATATAACAATGGTTCCTTGGCGCTTGCATTTCATTTGCTGCATAACAAAACAAATCAAGATTGAGAAGCTTACAATGAATATATGAACTTCATATATTCATTATATCTGATTTATCATCTCGGGTTTATTACGAATCAACTTAATGGCCTCCTCCCAGTTGGCTTGTTAGCTCAATTGGTAGAGCGCTGCACTAGTATCGCAGAGGTCAGTGGTTTGAATCCCATACAGGCCTGATTTTTTTCAGGTCTGATTTTCGCTGTTGCATAAATAACGCTCTCTACTATGAGGATCATGCATCATACGTATCTAATACCGCAGTTCAAAAATATGAACTTTCATGTATTCATTGTACCTAAATAATTTTGTTTGTTAAAGTAGGTAAAAAAAGTTTGCAACTCAAAGCTAATGTGGACCTACCACAAGTAAATAATTTGTAACAGAAATCACCTAATAAAATTAAAAATCCTATTTACATATAATAATCAAAATAATTTCAATTAATAATATTTAAAACTAGCATCTGGTCCTGTGATTGCCATTACTGATCCCCTCTTTCTATACAGGTCTAGCCTCTACAGTGTATAATAAAAAATGAACTTCATAAAAACTGTAATATATTTATTCTACCAAACCAGCAGCCAGCAAATTTCTACAGTAACTGTAAAAACAAGTTGACTGGATGATGTGAAGTTTGCAGCATTATTTCATCTGGCAAATGACAAAGGGCTGACTCTCAAAACATCAGCTTTGCACACTCGTTACAGCAGTCAATTTACATTTTGTGATATGTTTATTCTACAAAACCAGTGGCCAGCACATTTCTACAGTAACTGTAAACACAAGATAATTTGACCATCTGATGTTTCCAGCGTTTGTCCTTCATCAAGAAAAATGATGAAGGGCTAACTGTCAAAACATCAGCTTTAAACACTCCTTGTCGTGGCCAACTTACATTATCACCTTACTTGATAAAACCAAATTATATTGTAATACTCCCTATCGACCCAGCACAACAGTTTAATATTAGAAATTAAATTTCCCATTATATTCAACTGTAAAAAATAATACTAAAGATAGACATCATTTCAAAATCTTACTCAGTTCAATCTTCAAAATCAAATTCCAGCCCAGTCCCTCTCAGCTTGTTCATAACCTCATTTTCAAACCTCTCATTCTGTTCCTGGGTGAAATAATTTTTCCAATCACCAATCTTTCCTTTGCGTAACAGTTTTGGCCCCTGAGCTGTACGTTCT